CGAGTATACGCAACTTGAAGAATGTTTTTGTTAATTTTTTTATTTTAAAATTTCATACTTTTATTTTGTTATAAATTCGTAAACTTAAAATAGAACACGAAGTACTTGTTTTATTTTACTTTGAAGAGGTGATTTTTATGTTGATTTTTTCATTATAAGCTCTGATTATGAAAGTGCCATATTTTATTTCATTACAAACTACCTTTATTCATCGCATTTGTCCATAATTTCACTACCAGTAATAAATTTTCATTACCTAATTCTTCACTTTCATTGCCGATTTTACAGTTTTCATTACCATCAGAAGGATATAATTTTGTCGATCAATATCTACTAAATTACTGTGTATAAACTTGTGTGAATTAAATAAATAAATTATGCTCTATATACCGAATCTAATGATAGTAAAAAAAAAAGTTTTTTTTTTTCTCCCAAAACTCTCCGAATTGCACCAAATGAGAGAAATACCCTATACTGTTAGTCCCATAATCTAAAAAAAGGTGAATGAACTTTTATGTCGCTTCTCGGTGGCCGGTGGTGGACTTTCAATTACATTCTTTAAAAGTAGATGGTCATTAGTGACCACTAAATGGGGGTCATCGTTTCTTATTAAATTAAATTGTAATATTGATGATGGTTAATTGGCACGACACATGGGTAATTATTCGTATTTATTATTAATTTGTCATTTTGACAGCAGCTTGTCCTTATCATACTCTATAAAGAATGAAAAGGAGAGACTGTTGTCGAGTTTACAAGTACCAAGTGCCGGGATATTATTTGAGATTTGAGGTGACCTTGAACAGTGTAGTGTAATACGGCTTCCACACGATACAATTTTACGTCCAATTTGATTAGATTGACAATCGAATTATGTTGTGTGGACGGAAATATGAAATTGAAGGTCATTGGATGGTCGGTATCGCCCGATTCGGGATTGCCCAATCAAATTGGGTGGTGTGGACGCTAACTGGCCAATTTTTTAACGTAGTCACTCACTGTGCAAGCGGCGTTCAGAGCGGGTGTTGACTTGTCTTTTGAGAAGAAGATGGAGCAACATGACGACAATATTATGTCTATTCGATCTGAACGGGAAGTAATGGAGGAGATTTTAGATATATGTAAACGATATGATAAGACTTGCCATGCCTTTGGGATGTGTCTAACCAATTATATAAAAATAAACAAGCAAGGCATAATTCCTTAGAGATTTTGCGGAATAAGTGGAAAAATATTGATAAAAATATTACTGTTATAATTTTTATTATTTTTAAAGCATGTAACTGCTTGATGTTTAAATCTAAAGAAAATATAACTAGAAAAAATTCCACGCGGACCAGGCAGCAGACGAGACTCGAACCCGCATTCTTCGCAATCCGGGCGAATGCACTGACCAATTATGCTACCGCGGCCCTCACGGACCGCGTCGAAATTCTTCCAGCCATTCTTAAGCTGCAAGGCAGCGCCATCTCTTAGCATTATAGGTAACCCACAATGTCAAATGAATACTTTTACAAGTATAATGCGATTCAACTAACAACAGGACCGACTGAGCGCCATATTTTGACGTCATACTTGTCAATTCAAACCAAATAGGTAGAGTGAGCAATAAAAATTTTGCAATTCAATAAAACTTATTTACTAAGATTAAGTGAGACAAAACATCAGATTTTTTAATAAAATTAATTAACTAAGGTTGAGAAAGAACACAACCGATTTTTAATAGTATTTCTTTATTAAGACTGTGAAAAAAAACATTAATCAGAATCAAACTCTTCAATTTCGCTCATCTTTGCATTACCGCCGGAGAAGTCTACTCTAAATGAATAATCATGCAGGTCACATACGAACATGCATCCTAAGTAAACGAAAGTTTTAAATCGAGTTTCTAAACGCAACATAAAGTGACAATTGGTTGACGATTTAAGTTATCAACCATTCATAGCCAATACTCAATAAGTGAAAAAAAAAACAAATAATATTAATTATCAACATTTGTTATTGTTTGTTTAAAAATGTTTGGTTTTTATTCTATAATCGGAAAGTGCTAAAAAAGTGTTTCGAGATTTTTTGGCAAACCGTACTTTTCAAGCGACATTTGACAGATGGAGGTCATTGGCTTTCCTATTCTTATTTGAATCGCATTATATTAAACATTTGAAAGAAGAAATAGCAATTATAGTTATAATTTTTATTATTTTTAAAGCATGTAACTGCTTGATGTTTAAATCTAAAGAAAATATAACTCAGTTATATTTTAAAGGGTTTTCGAAGGATGCGGGTTCGAGTCCCGTCTGCTGCCTTGTCCACGTGGATTTTTTTCTAGTTATATTTTCTTTAAAAATATTACTCTTATACATATTTATGTGACTTAATTGCTTTCTTTTTAATAACCATTGTTTTGTCCACAGTCTTCTTTTTCTTTTTTTCCTCTCTTCCCTGTGCCTCTGGGTTTTTTCCGGTTCCCATTGGCTATACAGGTACGAATACGGCAACAGTTTTAGATACAATTCACTATGACGTGCAAAAAGAGATTTGTAAAAAAATCCAAATTGAATCCTAATTGAATTTGAATTAACAAAACACACAGATTAAGTGAAAACTAAATTTATTGACATAGTGTGATAGGAGTGATTTAACATAAAACATTTCAACAGCGCTCATCATTCAGTCAATTTCTTGCTCTTTTGGGGTGGGAAGGACCTTGATCCTCGTCTTCGTTTACATTTTCTTTTTCTGTATCATCTTCTCCATCGGAACCCTGTAGGGAAACGGTCAGGGGATCCTCCTGTTCTTCTTCACCTTCGGAGTCAACTTGAGGGACCCCATTCAGGCAGTTCCCCTGGCAATTTTGGCACGCTGGGGAACTTTTGAGGCTTGCTTTTTTGCAGCCGCACTTCGCGCTTGCACAGTCTTTCGTGCATCGGCAGAAAATCATTTTCAGAATCTCGTCCGGTGCAGCTGGTAACTCACTGTGGACTGGGGCCAGACAGTGGTTTTCAATCTTCCACCCATACATCTGAGGAGGCAGGTAATTTCCCAGCCACAGCTGAACTTGGTGGAATGTTCGGAGGGAATGCTGTTTTACTGCTCCCTCGGTGGGAGGAAGACAAGAGATATCAGGCTTGATGGTGGCCACTGATTTCAAGAATGACTTGTACCTGTAGGCATTGAGGGAAATCTCTTTCGCTGGAGCTCCATACCACCTTAAGATGCAGGTTTCACCTGCCTTTTGTACTTGAGCGGTGGTGGAGAAAGGGTGTGAAAAGACCGCTGCTGCTTTCTGGATTTCTGGTGACTTCAGATTAAACTTATTTTCTGGATTAAGTTAGAGGAACCTGATCAGTGGGCCAACAAGTACATATTCTAAAATGAGCATGTGTGCTATTTAGATATCGGTGCATCGTTGAAGAGTTATCCGGGCAAATAGAGCATAAATGTGAAGCAAATTTTTTTTTCATAATTACAGACTTTCAAGAGTGGATATCTCGAAAACTATACAAGATATCAAAAAACTTGACTGAATAAGACTTGTAGCAAATTTAATCAGCTTTCAAAGTTTCCGAGATATACGCGAAAAACCTAAAAATGGGACCTTCAATCCCCCCTCCGGCTTAAGGGCTACGGGCGGGGACTTTTGATATGTTTACCTCCTAACTAGTCCTAACAAAGTTACGAAGTCAAAAATTGTGTTCCAAGCATTTCCTGTTTTTGAGCATTCGTTGCCTGAACTATATTTTCAGAAGCTGGGCAAATCGCCACCGACATGAGAAACAGATTGACTGGTTCTCATCTTTCGATGTTAATTTTTTTGTCATCCATAGATGTATCTCAATGGCAATGAGTGTTTAAATAAACATTCTTATTTTAAAATTGCAATTCTTTTCTTTGTAATAATGTCTATGTATTTAATGTCTATGTATGTTTTTTTGTATTTCGGTGGTATATTTATTTTCTTAAAAAGTCTGGAATTTTTCTTTGATTAATCGATATCATGAGTGCAATTAAGCGATTAATTGTAATCGACACTAGAAATAATCGTTATTGAATAGTCGATTACTTTGCTATCGATTATCATCCCTAATTCAAGCACCTGAAGGGTGCGGCCAGAGTGCACTCAGATTCAAATTCAGATTCCGAAAATAAGCGCGAGAAATAAACAGTGTAGTCGAAGGGTACGGCCAGAGTGCACTCCTGATTCAGATTCAGACTCAGAAAACAAAGCGCGAGAAAAAGCAGGCTACCTGCTAAGGGTGCGGCCAGAGTGCACTCAGATTCAGATTCAGATTCTGAAAACAAGCGCGAGAAATAAACAGTGTAGTCTAAGCAGGTTGCCTGCTTTTTCTCGCGCTTTGTTTTCTGAGTTTGAATCTGAATCTGAGTGCACTCTGGCCGTACCCTAAGGGTGCGGCCAGAGTGCACTCAGATTCAGATTCAGATTTCGAAAACAAGCGCGAGAAATAAACAGTGTAGTCGAAGGGTACGGCCAGATTGCACTCCTGATTCAGATTCAGATTCAGACTCAGAAAACAAAGCGCGAGAAAAAGCAGGCAACCTGCTTAGACTACACTGTTTATTTCTCGCGCTTGTTTTCAGAATCTGAATCTGACTCTGAATCTGAGTGCACTCTGGCCGCACCCTAAGACTACACTGTTTATTTCTCGCGCTTGTTTTCGGAATCTGAATCTGAATCTGAGTGCACTCTGGCCGCACCCGAAGCCTGTAGCGGGAGATTTGAGGAGAATGCGAGATCTGGCAACTCTGCTGACCATAGACAAAAAAACCCGCTATTTAAAAAAAAACCGATCGACCGAACAGGGTTCCCAACTTAGGGGTTTTGCCCCCAGATTTAGGGGCTAGAAGTGTTAAAAGTGACTTTTTTAGGGGCTGGAATTTTTTGGGGGTTCTTTTAGGGGCTTTTAACAAAACTTTCAATTAAATCGAAAAACAAAGCGTGAGTTTTCTTTCAGTTTTGTGCGTAAAATGGAACGCAGCACGATATGAAACGACTGAACTCACTGTGTGGCAGGTTGTTTCCTAAGGCTGTATGGACTAAAGTTCTTTGCCTTCCACCAATCAAAACAGCTAAATAAGATTTAACCGCCTGTCAGCTCATTTTCGTTTGATTTTCCATTCGGAAAATGTATTTATTCAATAAAATAATTTACTGTAACAGAATATGTAACGTTTTAATTTATGAGCTACGAAAGAATTTAGGTAATAAGATAAGTAGGTACATATAATTTTCTATATTTAGGGGATTTTAGGGGAATTTAAAAAATACTTAGGGTAAAATTTTGGTAAGGGTTGGTAACACTGCGACCGAAGCCAGCGTCAAAGATTTTTTTGGTGGGCTTTCATGTTGTGTTCGCGATAATTTCGCGCAATTATTTCTATTGAATCAATATAAATTGAATCAAAAGAACGAAGATACAAGTAAGTGCATTAATGAGCTTCATTTATTGTTCTGTTAATCGTCTTGGAAATGTAATTTGATTTTAAACAAACGCTTTTTTAGATATGAGTACGTTAGATATAAACAAATTAGACAACGATGATGAAAATAAAACGCCTGACAAAAAACAAATCGAAGCCGAAGAGAAAGAAGTGATGCTTAAAATTGAAGATAATTCAGAAGTTCCGGATGAAAAATCCGATGGCGGCGGTCCTGTAAAAGCCGCTCTTTCAGGAGACATTACAGAGCAAGGGCGCGAAGTAAAACCTAAATTTATACCAATAGGTGCGATTAAAATGCCTGGTTTTTTCACTAAGAATTCAGACAAAGAAAAATCTAAGGTTTGTACATTTTTTACCAAATATTCTTAGATATTTAACTTGTTTGTACTAAATGCTGTGATGTTATTTTTGTGTAATTGTAGGATGAAGACGATATACAGAAGGACACTGAAAATGAGAAGACTGATGAGGAACCTAAAATCAAACACAATCGTCTGCAATTTTTACACACTTGTCCTTTCACACAATTTTTACATAAGCCTCGCAATGGTAATGTTCTGATTCAAATACTAGTGACGCGATTTCGTTTTTATTTATGAATCTGTTTTTTTTTAACACTATGATTAATTTTATAAACAAATTGAGATGTGTTTATGTCTGAACAGATGGAGAAGGGGGAGAAAGAAAGAGAATATTCAATATCAAATATCCTAAGGTCTTCCAGAAACGCTCAGAGATTAACCCTGAGGCAACTCTAGCTTCCATGGAGACCCTAGAAGACAAACTGGATACTCCAAATGATGGAATGGAAAATGTTAAACTAGAAATGGTTTGTATTAATTTTGGTATTGTTTGATAGGGCTTTTGTGTTACATAGACCATGCTTACATACAAATTACTAGGTTAGGTTTGACAATTGTTGTGATCAAAATGTGCAAGCTAAGCAACTGAGTTTGATCTACAATTTTGCAAGTTAACAACTTTCACAATGACCAGTCATGCTTTTTGGATTGATTACTGTGAATTTATTAGTACAATCTCCTTTGTGCTTTGAAAGGTATACTAAGGCCCTTGGTCCAGGCTGCATCTACAGTTGTTAGCACCCATCAATCGGCTCTGGCCTGTATGGTAGGCTTAGCCTTGTCTTGTTAATTATTAAATTGTTTGATTGATATGATTTTCATACTTATTTAGGTTAGGTTTTTCATAGTTTTCAAAATCTGTACTTCAGAAACTAGGCATTTCTGTAGACCTTAGGGGTGAGAATGATAGAAGAGTCTGGTTAGCCCTATATCTTATTCACAACTACTTACTTAGTAATTCTTAGATAAACTTATTGCCTCTTAGTATTAGTAGTGCGGTGGGCTGTTTCCGCTACTCTACACCCAGTGCCTATTTTGAGTGGGGATTGGCATCAGTCCTGCCATCCCAGCTCCTCCGGAAAGCTTAGCAGTCCCCGGATGTTGCTGCAGGCCTCTACTAGTGTCCGCGGACTTCCCATTAAAGAAGTCTTGTCTTGCAACGCCTCTGCACTCCAGCAGAACATGGGCGCTTGTCTCCTCATTCAGGCAGGCTCTGCACAGAGCCACCTATATTACAAAGGTCTTTGTTGAAGTAGCCGTGACCAGTAAGTATACCCATGATTTGTTTTAGGGCTTGTCTAGGTAGTCTTATTAACTTACACGATAGCTGCAGGTTTACCATAGGAACGGCTTCTCTAGCTTGCCTGCAGTCTGTGAGTTATTGCCCACTATTCGTCGTGTTGTTGTTGACAGCACTCCTTTATCCAGGTTCTCAGCTGTCGATAGGATATGGGTACAATTGGCTCCAGGCCAATGGCCGTCCTGCTGGAACCTTCCCTAGCTAAGCAGTCCGGCGCATCGTTGATCGTGCTAATGTGTACAACAAACATTATAAAATGGCTATCATCCTTTATGCTATGTACTTAGAACCTCTTATCGTAGAACAATATATAAAAAAATCTCAGTTGGTCAAGTAAATTGCACCCTTAATTATTATATATCTTAAAAAATTAAAAAGATGTAATTAATTGAAATTATAAATATACCAGCATATGAAAAATGAAGTAAAACCTATTATTTGGTTCTGGCATACATACTACATCTGATATTACATACTTTTACGTGGCGTGTGTTATTTTGCGATGTTTGTTACAGGATGCTGAAGAAGGGAAAGTGGCCACTAAATTACCCCTCAAAGAAAGAATTCGTCAAAAGAAATTCATTATTGGTAAGATTTTTGTTTTAATTCATAAACTTAAATTCTTGAATAAATTTACAACTTTTGAGTTTCGGGAATCGGGCCCATTGTTTTGATTCCTAGTGCTATTGGATAAAAATTTACAAGTAAAGTTATTGCAGAACCCAGTACTTACCTAGCACACTTTCAAAAACACTATAAATGTTAATTTAGTCAAAATGGAATGGAATGGCCTAGTTTAGGTACTAGTGTATTGTAACAGTGCTAGTTTTGTTGTGTTTTTGTTTTAAGTGTTGTCCTTATTATTAAGCATTAAGGAAACAATTATTATGATTTAACTATGTAACTACATAATTATATTGCACTAGGGAATAAATATTATTGTTATAATTTTTATTTTTAAGCATGTAACAGCTCGATGTTTAAATATAACGAAAATATTACTAGAAAAAAATCCACGCGGCTCAGGCAGCTGACGGGACTTGAACCCTTCGCCCGGATATCCAAGGGTGGGTTCGAGTCCCATCTGCTGCTTGATTTGTGTGGAATTTTGTTTAGTAATATTTTCAATAATTATTATTACTTATATAAAAGGTAAATTGTATATATATGTATTGTATGTTTATGTATGTATTGCATATGAAAGTTATATTTTAATTTTAATAAGTTATATTTTAATTCAGAGGCACACACTAACTGCCTTTTTTATGTTCTTTCCTTTCGCGGGCCTGTTCTAATCATGTCAATGTCTCCTCTTTCTCTTTTTTCATATATTTTATTGTGTGTGTAAAAAAATAATAAATAATTAAAAGGTATGTCACTTTGACAGATGACATAGTTGTGTGTGTATTGGCGTTGCTAGTGCTGTTGGCCGTTATCATTGGTGTAGTGATGGGGGCGCGCGCGGGGCCGCCGGCGGAGCGCCCGCTGCGACTGGGCCGCTTCAAGGAGACCATCACCACTTGTGGACCAGTCGAAGGGTAAGTTCATCAGATCCTTAATAGGGGTGACGACGGGTCAAAATATACGAAATTCTATTTAGTTCGTCAGTTAGATTATCAAAAAATAATCGACATGTATTTTTTCTTAGGCTTAGGAGTGGGGGCTCGTGACTTCACTATTAAGTAACAATAGTACCAAAACGTAGTAACCAAAACGTGATGTCATGTGAAATTTCAATTCAATATATCTCGGTAATGATTAGATTAAGTGAATCCCTGAAGTCCAATACTTTTTAATGATCTACCTGACGATAGATAGGTGAAGAAAAAATTAAAAAAGTTGTCATCCCTTTTATAATTTTTAAATACTTTCTTTATTTTAGTGTCTTAAACAGGTATTAAAAAATACTCTGTACAATACACAACAAATATAAATCTGAATCGAATTGGGCAAAAAATTCAATTGTAAATTACAATCTTTACAGTATCCTGGATGAAGGAGTGTATAAGTTCAACAACATACCGTATGCTGTCCCACCCGTAGGAGATAAGAGATTTACTTATGCCCAACCTTTAAACAATATATCTATGTGCTGGAACAACACCTACAAAGCTCATGAGCCCGGACCACTCTGCCTACAGTTTTTGGAGAATGGCACTATTATTGGGGAAGAAGATTGTTTGAATTTAGATGTTGTCACTCCTCATGTAAGATACGACTCGCCATTACCGATTGTTATGCTTATTGGAGCCAACTCTTTAGCAGGTGGCATAAGTCCAGCCCAACCTTCTGCTTTGTATGCACGTACCAAGGAAGTTGTATTTGTAAGGCCAAATTTCAGACTTGGTGCTTTCGGTTTCCTAGCACTTGATATTCTGTCTAATTCCAAATATCCAGCCACTTCAGGAAATTACGCTCTCAGTGATTTAATAGCTGCATTGCAATGGGTAAAATATAACATTGAACACTTTGGTGGAGATCCAACTTCTGTTACTTTGCTGGGCCACAGAGCTGGTGCAACTTTAGCTGCTGCACTCACAACAGTTACCAGAGCTCAGAAGCTGTACTCTCGAGTTTGGCTTTCCTCACCCTCAGTGATTTTCCCTGGTGAACCCCAAGATCAAACTCAAAAATATGAACAATTCAAGCAAAGAAGCAAATGCAATGATATTGGATGTCTGCAGCGTATGTCAACAACAGAAATTTTAAGTGCTACACCAGAAGTATGGCTGGGAAATAATGTTGGAACTTTACCAGTTGCTGCTGAAGAATTTCAACACTCTTGGTTGGTTTTAGATGGCGATTACTTAAGGGTACATGCTTACGAAAGTTGGCATTCCCAAAAAGAAGCCAAGAAATCAGGTAAGGACAAAATTTTCAAACCTATGGTCTTTGGTACAACACAGCATTCTGGTCATTCAGATTTACTACAAAAGAAACATTTAAATTGGACATCAGAATTGGTGGAAAAAATGGTCAATGATAGTATTATTGGCCAAAAGAATTTAACAGCTGCAGTTTTCAAACATTTCGACAAGTCTTATACAGGTTTGGCTGAATTAATATCGTCTCTGCGTACTTTATGTCCTTTAGTAAGTTTAGCGAGATTGCGTCTTTCAGCACCCATGTATGTGGTTATGGGCGCAGGCGGAGGCGCACTAGGGTCTGGAATAGCTGGTATAAATGCAGATGTCGAAGCTATTCTTGGTACTTTTGATTCTGAAACACCAGAACAAAGACGTTACATGGCAGCTATGCAACAGCTTTTCTATTATTTTGTATGGCATGGAACTTTGCCTGGTCCAGAAACTAGTCTCATTACTGTTGCACAAGATTTACTTCCTCTTCATGGCTTGCCAGCTTGTGATTTACTGATACAAGAAGATCTAGTGCCAAGGTACGCTCATATCGATTAAAGTGTTATTTAATATCATAATCATGTCTTAGATTGTATAAAAATGTTTGGCTGTCTTCTGTAGTTATTAATATTTAAGCATGTTTTTAATATGTGAGTAAAGTGCATTTACCCCACCCCACCCGCCAGGTAAAGTACTATTGTATCTTATTGTATTAAAACTTTTGCAACTTAATGAATCTCTGCCAGCTCTTGTGAGCCCCGTGATCTCAATTCTTTACATTTTTTGTCTGATTGTATTTTCTAGAATTTTTTTAATGAGTACAAATTTTATGATGAAAGTATTATACATTTATTAATTATATTCTTATCATGACTCGTTTTAGGAAGACTGATGTACAAAAATTCTACCCCTATCTAACTAGTAATAGGTATTAGTAATTTAGAATAAACCTAATAAATTTCAACGTATTTTAATTCAAACGTTAATAAAATAAATAAATCAATCAACTGATCAACAAGGAAATGTTATTTTGTATTTTCGCGATTTTGTATACTAAAGTTTATTGTATCTTAAATTACGAACTGTAATTTTTTGGAACTTTGGAATATGAAGTAGACAGTAGAGTTTTGTATATTTTTTTGATTTATTGACAGCTAAGAATAATTTCAAATGGCAGTTGACTAGATCATTTGTTGACTAGAACATAACATAATAATATGTATTAAAAAGTAAACTATTTAAACATGGAATAAGCTTAGACTAGTTACGACGTGTTTTGTTCATTACTCAAATGCTATTTGTAATTCAATGCACAGACAAATATAAAATAACTAATTCAGGTTATTCTTCGTTTACTATTAAGAAGGAAAATGTTTGTAATTTAAATTCACTGCGTTTTGAATAAGTACTTTCATATTGAAATATTTTTTTTAAATTTGCGTTTTAGAGTTAAATGTGATTTTTTAAGTCTGATTTTCTATCCAAAGAGTGATTTGTGATTATGTTAAGTTATAAGCTATTTTTGTATTGTAGGCAATTAATATGTAATATTTGTGTCATTTCTAATATACTATGTAGTAGAATAGGAAAACATACTAAACTAAAGCAGCTAACTAGGTAATTATTCTTGCCAATGCTTTTGTGATTTTATGTAAAATGTAGATGCACCAGTGTTGTCCATGCAGCTTTTGCAATGTTTTGTAAATTCATTGAATGAAATAAATGTAAGACTGAAGAATGTTTTTTTATTTTATATTTCGAAGCTTCACCATTAAGTTTTTTTTAAAGGTTCTTAATTAAAATATATATAATAAAAATGGGTGCGTGTACTTATGTAGGCGCGTGAGAAGTTATCCTTCTTTAGCATCGTTTAAAATTAGTTTTTAATTGCATGCAAATAATTAATTACAATAAATTTAAAAAAAGTCTGGAAAAGGACACAGTCAATAAAGTTCAGTTTTAATTTGAAAAAATAAATAAATAATCAAAATATTCAATTAAAATCGCTACTGAATATAATTTATTAGAACATAATAATATGTGATTTGCACTTGTATGAAACTCAAACACGTATTCCGAATATACAAACTAGAAACATGCGGATAAATATTATAAATATGAATACCTATAACTGTTACTTTATTACAAAAATTAAAGATGTGGTTTTTGGTTCTACTACACCAATGGTCAAGAGATGGCGCTGTAGTCTCCTGAATCGCGCTTTGGTTCCGTTGTTCCAGATTAATAAATACTTTTGATATTATTAATATGAATACCTATAACTGTTACTTTATTACAAAAAATAAAGATGTGGTTTTTGGTTCTACTACACCAATGGTCAAGAGATGGCGCTGTAGTCTCCTGAATCGCGCTTTGGTTCTGTTGTTCCAGATTAATAAATACTTTTGATAGGCCTTCACAATGCAGTCGTTAGCACCCACTAAATAGAGATTCTATTTCTATTTTGTTGGTAGATTTTCTTAATGTGCGGTAAACACAAAAGTAACAGCATGAAGTTGGTCGCTAAAGCGACCAACTTCATGCTGTTAAAATTTTGTGTTACAGTGATGCGCGCGCATCTTGAAATTTCACTCTTATCATTTTTTCATAACGCGCCTAAAGAAGTATAACTTCAATAATATAAGCTTTAGGTTCATGGATTGTATATCGGGCCGCAGAGCAGCGCAAAATGCTAACTTATCACATTAGTGACAGGCCGGGGCATTGACGAATTTTTAAATTATCTTATTTCGTCTGTGTACCTGTTATTTTTCTTTCTGTGCACCGGCCTTTTCAGGCATCGTCGCCTCTGAATGTGAACAAAGCACTGAACTGACCCTCATTTAAAACATGCGGCGTCGCTATTGTTTTCTTAGTCATAAAAGTAACTTGTCCTTCAGCTCAAGGTCAGTACATAAAAGTCTAGGGTTTTGGTTTACTTGACCGGTCAGTAAAGTGACTTCACATGAAATTCATAACAAAACTACATCATGTAGCTCAGCATCAGCTATCCTACCTAACAAACATAGTCTGTTTAGCGTTGCCAGGCGTTCGGATAAAGCCGGACATAGGGCTTTTTAATTGCGTGTCCGGCCAAAAGGAACGGCTTGTCGGGCTTGTTACATGTCGCAAACGAGTGAAAGCCGAGCGCAAGTTGACTGTCGGTCGCATTACTGAGCCACAAAATCCTTAATCTTCTTGTTGCTACGGGCGTTTCCGCAACTCGACGTCCTTATGGCGCCTGTTTTGCGTAAGGAGTGACTTGAAGGTTTCCCGGTGAGCCTAGGTATTTCGACCGGTATTCGGCCACTCCGTTGCATTCCAGCAGAACGTGAGTAGTTGTTTCTTCTGCCTCCATGCATCCTCTGCATAGAGGGCTGTCCGTGACACCTAAGTTAAAAAGATGTCTGTTAAAATGTGCATATCCAGTAATAGCACCTGTTACCATGAGCAATGTAGGTTTGCTTAGCTGTAGTTTCCGAGAAGGCAGTGTTCACCCGTGACAAAGCGAGCTTCGTCTGCCTGCACGTCTCCCAATCGAGCCAGAGTTGCTGGTGTAGTGCGGCTGTGTGCTAGCGGATTTTATTGACGTGACAGCTTACTGGTATCGGGACGATTGTTTCGGGACCTGTTGGTGTCGTATCGGATCCCTTCCGGGCCAGCTCATTCGCAGCGTCGTTGATCCATTGGAGAGTAATAGAATTGCTTGATCCTACCGTGTTTAAGATTTGGTGGCATTCTTGTAGGAGGCTCGATTTGACTAAACATGCATCTAGAGCCAAAATCCTTAATAATGTAGGGTGTCTTGTCTGGCCTTTTTACTCAAATGTCCGGCAAAGCTGGTTGGTCTGTCCGGCTATTAGGCTTGGCGACCTGGCTACCCTAAGTCTGTGGTTGATCGTAAGCACAGCACCCCGACTAGGGCCCACACATAAGGACACCCGCTTGTGCCAAGATTATATCCCGTCAACTTTGTAGGCAGAATAGTACTTTAAACTCAGTTTTTGTTAGCCCTTCATTTTGTTTTTTTTTATTTTCCGGTCGATTTTCCTCTTATTATTTGAGTTTTACTGTATATCCGGGCTTTATTTATGTTTTAAGTCAATCCTGAACAATTTCTCTGCAAACTTATCTATATATTAGATGTGTACATTAAAAACCATTACTAAATACTTATATTAAACCCAAAATATGAAAAATTTAAATAATTTTCTCCCCGGCGGAGGGCGGGGGGTTTTTTGACGTTGGCAAAAATCTGCTAATCACTACCTCCTTTATTCTGTCTATAACTATACTTACGGATTGTGGGATCCACTGGCGTGTTCAGTGAGTTAGCGCATGGTCTTTATTTGTTTACTTAATATAAGATAGGAAAATTACTAAGAATTTAAAAGAACTTCATTCATAATTCATTTATTGTAAAAAAATAGAAAACAAGGTTGCAGTCACACAATTTAACATACAATAATAAATACCTAAAGTATTACACTTAAAGTACGAATAAAACATGGTTATACTTTGCAATTGAAAATAAATAAACCAGTATCAAATAACCAATAATAATATCAATGAACATTTTACAACAGGAACAAGAGCTACCATAATTATTTTGTACCTAATATCTCGGATCAAATAATTTTATTTGATCTGAGCCTAACAAAATATAATTCCGAGAGTGGCTTCAGTCATACATAATCAACGTTTCATAGAGAATGGAAAAATATTTATTAACTTTGGCTTACATATAATAATTGAACGATTTAGTGGTTACGTTCGCGTAGTGGCGACACGACCGTCTGAAAGTTTTCCTTTCCTAATTTATGTGTCTTGCGCATTGCTGATGGAGACTTCGGTTTAGACTGAATCTGTTCCATATCTTTCTTCATTTTATCTATAATCGACGATTGCTTAGCAACAGTCATTGATAGCTCCTCATTCTCTTGACGAAGTAAGGAAAGTTCTACAACCAACGACTGTTGGTCTTCAATCTGAAAAAGAAAGGAAATTTTATTATTCTTACACTGATAGCGGGATTTCGGCGCTGGGTAAAAATAGTCGCTGGCATTATCAGCACGGAAAAACTATCACTAGTTTACTAGGAGCCAACTAAAGCCCAGCAAAATCCGACGGTACACCGTCGGCCTTAGCCGTGACTTACGACTACGTATACACCCCGGCAGACTTCTTGTACGAGCAAGCGCGTACATTTTGCCCCGTCGGCATTTTACGCCACATGCATTTATTTAGGTTAATTATGAATCAGTTCGTCATCGGTCATTATTCGTACCACGCGTTCTCACAGTCATATCATTTTAGTTTCATAATTATCAGTTTGTTATCAGTAATATATCATTTAAACATATCAAGACTTTCTCTTCTCTCTCTATATCATAAAAGGTGTACAAAACCCGTACATCTTTTTGGTCCTTCGTACAAGGGCCTCGCGAGTGACTCAGTGCATACGTGATTTCGGGAAACGTGACTCTGTGTCGCAAGTGAGGTGGATTTACACTGTAGTTATCGAAGAATTTTAACAACTACAACTTGGACTTCTGGGATCGTGAGTAATCAGGATCACGGTCATCAGGCGACATCCTATCCAAGTAAGGCGTATCTCTCTATCTTATTTACCAACTTATATTATCAACTGAGAAGATGTCTACCATGGAAGATTTCGTACAAACTCAAGAGCAGCTCTCAGGTGCTATTGAACAAGTTTTTACTAACTTTAAGAAAGATGGTTCGGATAGAAAAACGGCTACGTACTTAAAACAAAGACTTGATACTTTAGATAATTATTGGGTTGAATAGCAATCGAATCATGTAAAATTATGTGGGTTTGGTAAAAAGTCTCATCATTATTTTACTTCGAAAAGGTATGAAATAGTGAAGGATAGATTTTTGAGTATCAGGGCAACTATACAGAATTATCAACCGTCGCGTGATGAAAGTTCAAGGCCTAGCACTCCTCTTCTCAAACCAGCTACTCCGCTTAACATGCCTATCTCTTATCAAGCTATGGAGACAGCTCCTACATCTCATTCGCAAGGTATAAACAGTAGAACGGATGAAATGTTACGAAAACAAACTAGCCATTTCAAGGCCTTCGAACATACAATTTCTAATATAAATCTCTGCAAATTGTCCGAAAAATGGGAGTTCGATCATCTGCTACGTGTCATTCAAGCTCGTTGGTCGGGTATTGACGCTTTACACTGGGAGCTGGACAGTGAGTTAAATGGCAGGAAACCTGAATACGAGGCTACTTATTTTAATTTCGAAAGAAAGTATAATGAAGTTATTAAGTCAATCAACCGGAAATTATGGTCAGTATCACACCGCGAACAATCCACCCCCCACTTAGAAATACCTACATTTAACGGAAGTTACCATCAATGGACTACCTTTAAAGACCTTTTCATGGAGACCATACACAACAATCCAACAACACTATCAAGCGCTCAGCGTATGCAATTTTTGAAGACAAAGGTCAAAGGTGAGGCCGAACGTCTTATTCAGCATCTTACAATATCATCAGACAATTATCCAATTTGCTGGGATATTTTGACCCACATATATGATAACAGAAAATTAATTTTGAATTCACACCTCGATATCTTATTCGCTATACCAGTCATGCAACAAGCATCAGTCAATCATTTGAAAAGGATTCATGATACTACACGTGAAACTTTAAATGCCATCAATAACTTAGGAATAACTGTCGACTCGTGGGATCCACTGCTAGTTTACCTTTTGTGCCAAAAATTAGATAGCGAGACCCACGGAGAATATATTGCTTCAGTTAAGCAGCCCAGGGAGGTACCAACCATATCTGAGTGTTTATCATTCTTAGAAAATAAGTTTACTACTTTAGAGAGCTCTAGGCGTAAACAAGAAAATCAGAATAAATCAATCACTCGCAATCCAAGTTATAACATTCCATCATTTTCGCATACAAAATATCATAAGCAGTCGAATAATATTTCATATATTAAGCAATCATTTCTGTCACAAGGCCGGAATGTGGCGCAATCACATTACAACAATAAAAACGTCTATGCTACAAAATATTACAAATGTCCCATTTGCAAAAGTGATGACCATGGAGTGTTCTATTGCAAGCAATTTCTTGATATGTCTGCACTATCAAAACGGAAAACTATAACAAAGTACAATATTTGTCAAAATTGCTTGTATTGTCATTACGGAAAAGCCTGTATATCAGATAAAAAATGTCGTAAATGTTACCAATTTCACAATACTTTACTACATGAGGCATTTATGCAAACGTCATTCGACCACTCCGGAGCATCAACCTATAGGAAGCAGACAAATGAAGCCGCAACCTCGGCTTCTGAAGCTTCGCGTAATATTCGCAGCAACTCTCACGTTCCTCTGCAGCAAGAAGTTCCAGAAATACTGTTAGCAACAGCTTTTATAAAAGTTAAATCATTCAACGGATCATATATCAACTTACGGGCATTGTTAGATCAGGGATCGCAAGCATCGCTAATAACAGAAAATGCGGCGCAACAGCTAGGGTTGCCGCGTTCCAAATGCCAAGGAGTCATTTCGGGAATTGGTACTAATGAAAATAATTGTAAAGGAATGTTACATATTAAGATTTCGTCCACAACCAATGAATTTGAAACAAATGTATTAATCATAAATAATCTCATAAAAAATTTACCTAGCCAATCATTCAGCAAGCCAACATGGTCTTATTTAAATAATATAAAATTAGCGGATCCCGATTTTAACACTAGTCGCCCGGTAGACTTAGTAATAGGAGCCGATATTTACTCATTAATTTTATTAGAAGGTATTTGTAGAGCAAGCCAAGATTCGCCTATTGCACAAAACACTCGCTTAGGATGGATATTAAGCGGCAACGTGAGAACCCTACAATGTAACGTAACATTGAACGATTTAGTTGATATACAAAAGTTTTGGCAAATAGAAGATATTACACTAGAAACAGAATTATCTACGGAAGATCAACAATGTATAGAATATCAGAGCACGACTAGTAGGAGACAAGATGGTAGATACGAAGTGAGGATACCTTTCAAACCGAATTTTCAGCAAAGTTTGGGTGATTCTAAACCCAAAGCTATAGCACAATTTAAATCGTTAGAAAGGAAATTCAAGAAAAATCAAAGCATGGAAAAACATTATAACACATTTATGCAAGACTATATATCACTAGGTCATATGATACCGATAATTCATCTACCGATTGTTACTTAACGCATCACGGCATAGAGCGCACGGAATCAGAAACCACTAAGTTTAGAGTTGTTTTTAATGCATCGTGCCCTACATCGTCAGGCTGTTGTTTGAATGACGTCATGTCTAGCGGACCCAACTTGCAACAGGATCTGCAAACCCGCATTATCAAGTGGAGGCAGTATCAGTTTGTATTCACAGCAGACTGTGAAAAAATGTTTCGACAAATCTGGGTCAATAACAAAGATCAAAATATCAAAAAATCATATGGCGTGGTTCACCAAACCAACCGCTCACAGAATATCAGTTAGCTACAGTAACTTACGGTACCAAAGCCGCTCCATTCCTGGCTATGATGACCCTCAAAAGGTTGGTCGCAGATGAAAGAGCAAAATATGTCACTAATAGCATTTATCAAGATCAAGCTCCAGATGTCCTTGAACAATCGTTTTATATGGACGACCTTGTTCATGGTGCTCATAGTTTCGCAGCTCAGCTACGAAATTATGCTACGACCTGATTAATTTATTAAAATCAGGAGGATTCAATCTCAGAAAATGGAGGTCGAATGTTGCCGAAATAATGGAGTTCAATAACGTCAAAATATCGTTAAAAAGGTTGAGTACTCAAATATTCTCGGTCTCAATTGGAACCCTAGTTTAGATACATTTTCATTTGATGCAAAAAGTTATCATACATCATCTAAGCCTGATACCAAGAGATCATTGTTTTCCGATATATCAAAGCTGTTTGACCCATTAGGTTGGTTAACACCCGTATCAACTAAGTTAAAAATAATATTTCAAAGTGTTTGGTTTGCTGATATCAAATGGGATGACAATTACCGGAAGAAATTCAAACAGAATGGATAAATATCAAACAGGACATAATTAAAAATACACTTCTGGACACATCTATTGGCCCACCTTAGAGTTTAGGTTTCGATGGCCCCTACCGCAATATGATTGCTAGATTGAACAAAAACTGTTGATGCAGTTTTAAACCTGATACATTTTACTATCTTTTTCGATCGTATTGTTTTAAATTTGAATTCAGAATACCATACGACATGGAGCTACGCCTAACAAGTCGGATATGCGCCTTGTTAAAGGCAATTGATTTTTGAATAAAAAACATGTTTTATCAAATAAAGGTTTAATTTAATAACGCGTGTTGTTGTTTTAAATTTGAATTCAGAATACCATACGACATGGAGCTACGCCTAACAAGTCGGATATGCGCCTTGTTAAAGGCAATTGATTTTTGAATAAAAAACATGTTTTATCAAATAAAGGTTTAATTTAATAACGCGTGTTGCCTCCATGGGCATCAACCACAGCTCTCATACGATTAGGCATAGAGTTTATCAACCGCTCTAAGAAATTTTGAGGGATCATCTCCCATTCCTCTTCTATGGCAGTTTTCAACTCCAGCATCGTCTGGGCAACTGGCTGACGAGCCCTAACACGTCTTTTTAGCTCGTCCCACATGTGCTCAATGGGGTTCATGTCTGGGCTTCTGGCTGGCCAGTCCATAACTGTGATGTTCACATCCCGAAGATATTCCCTGACGATGCCGGCCGCATGGGCTCTTGCATTATCATGCATAAAAAGGAAATTTGGGCCCACATAGTCCGCGTATGGTATCACGTGAGGTTCTAAGCACTCACGAATGTACCTTTCAGCATTTAATGTTGGCAGCCGTGGTCCTGTAACAACCTCAAGTTGAGTTTTGCCGCTCGCGGATATACCGCCCC